ACTTGAAGTGGCTGGCCGGCCACTTGCAACAAATTTGTCCAAAATGCTCCTGTTTTGGGGTGGATGAAACCTGAAATGTATGTTCGATGTTTTGAGGTCACTATGAGTGCAAATAGAGACAACTCATGGCAAGGCAATGCATTTTCGGGCGAAGCGAACTAAGCATGCATCTCTCCCTCGCCCTCGAGGCCATTTAACTGCTTTACTTAGTTGGTTCATTTGTCGGTTTTGTAATTAATTAGTTGATGCGTTTAGCTAATTTAATTCATTATTGTAATTTTCTAATTAGCTTAGCATAGCTTGTTTTCAATTCAGCTTGTAATTAATTAGCTAAGTTAGTTAATTAGTTGGTTTGTAATAAGTAGCATTGCTTAGCTCTTATTTATTCGGACCCTCTTTCGAGAGGGCGCAACGTTGTAATAAGCGTGCGTACGTGTGTGCATGTCTTCTAACCCCATTTCTTTCTCCCTTTGATGGTTAGTTTTAGGGCATGTTTCAATTAGCATACTTATGCTTTGCATGCGTGCATTCATTCATTCATTCGTATTGCATGCACCGGGCTTGGCGCATCATACAAACCGCATTGTATTTCAATACGCTTACTTGAATACATGTTTCAAAGCATGTTATCGAGTGTTGTATTCATATGCCATCTTAGAATAGCCGAGCCTATTTAGTTGCATTTTGTATGTGCTGCATTAGGCATTGTTGACATAGTCAGGATCATGCATATTTCTAACTAGTTTTCTGTTTTGGCTTGGAGTACACTGTGAGTGTTTATGCTTTAGCATACTTGCATGTGTGTGAGTGACTACCATGATAGCATGCTTGCCATTAGGCTATTTCCTTAATGGCTATAACTGCACGAATGCCTGTGGATGAAGGCTTCATTGCTTGAATTGGAACAATTCATCAAAATGTGAGTTTTAAGCCCACTTTGCGGAGTGGCAAAATCATCATGTTTTAAAGCCCACTTGAGGGTGGCAAAATCATCATGTTTTAAAGCCCACTTGTGGGTGGCAAAATCCGCGCTTTAGCCTACTTGCGAGTAGCACTTTCAAACCATTTTTCGAAAAACAAACATGAGATGTTTTGTTCCAATTTGAGTGATTTGGTCTATACTTGTATGCTGTGCGCATCACATAGTAAGTTAGCTAAAAAACTGGAATATGAACACACGTATTTATGAAAACAACATATCATGTTAGTAGAGGCCGATCCTTTGATTGGGTGAGTGGGGGTGCTCATTTCAGGACCTTCCCCTCTCGTACCCAAGTTCCCGAGCCGAGGCAACTTTGGTGATGACGGAGGCACGAGTCAGGGTTTCCTAAATTTCTCAAAACAAAATATTTAAGTGGCGACTCTGAAATCTGGAAAAGCAGTCCATGCTTGGCACTTTTTGATTCAAAATTGATTTTTCAAAACCAATTGCCGGATTTGGGCTCTTTGGTGATTTATCAGTCTTACATTGCACTTTGTGAGATTAGATTCAGAACTGTGACAGGAGTCCGAACTGTAGTAGCTAGAACCCAATTCGCGCCCTCTCCGAAAGGGGGCCGCGCGGAGAGAGTTCGGGGCGGTCTTCATGCCCACCCTTCATAATGCACATAGTGTTGTTGCGAGGTAATAGTGCCACGTTAAACTCTCGTAAGAATTCCATTCCTAGCACCACGTCACAGTCATCGAGTGATGCTATCGAAAAATTGACTTTTCCGTGACACTCACCAAGGTGTAACTCAACCCCTCGAGCCATGCCATCTACGGGCTTTGCCTTGGTGTTCACCATTTTCATAAATCCTTGACCCTTGTCAAGTTTCAGGCCAAGCCTCTTGGCCTCCTCCGCCTTGATTCAAGATCCATCCCGTATTCCATGTAAGCTACTTAAAGCCCTATCATGCTGACACGGAGGATCTAAGCCGCAGAGAGTCATCAAGGGCACCAACGGCGGTCGTAACCTCATATGACAAAGAAGTCGAATACATGATGGCTGACCGGGTCATTAGAAGACGTGGAGTACCTCATTGCATTGAGTACCTAGTTAAATGGAAGGGACTACCTGAAAGCGAGGCTAGCTGGGAACCAGTCGATGCTTTATGGCAGTTCAAGGAGCAAATAGAAAAGTTCTGCGAGGAGGACGAGACGGGGACGTCGCTAGCATAAGTGGGGGAGAAATGTCACATCCTTACAAAATTCTCCAAAATATCTAGAAGGGAGCATGCAAGGGAGTGAGGCTAACGAAAGAATCTAGAACTCCCTGGAAACCCTAGCACATATGAAGACTATGGAGAATTCTAGAAGGACCTAGCAAATTCAAGAACCTATACATTTGTACATATAATTAGATATTTGAATAGATAGTTCTAGAAGGCATTCTAGAACATTCTTGTAGTTTATAAAGAAGGCTTCCATGGGAAGCTTCTACATGATGTCTTCTTGAGAATTCTAGAAAGCTCGTAAGGAGCCTATAAATAGGAGAGGAGCTCATTTGGTCCAATCTATCCAAGAGTTGTAAGCTTTTTCAAAGTATATATAAAGCATTCTCTCAAACTCTCTTGTGTTCTAACTTCTCTTTCCTATAAATTTGTGAGTTAGGCTGACTTAGCATCATCAAGTGAGACTTGAGATTGTCTAAGTGCCACAGGGATAGCTTAGAAATAACCAAGGCTGTGACAACTTGGTGTTTTTTTTATTTGCAAACATTTGATTTCAAATGAATCAGCTTGTTTGACTTTTGTGTTTGCTTATATGGGGTTTTAAGACATAAGTGGGTCTCATTAACGACTAGTTTTTCTCTCTGTGTTGCTTGCATTTTGAGTGGAAACTGATTAGTAATAGCTTCAATGATTGCCGGTAAGCCATGCCTGTTTTTGGATGTGAAGCTTTTGTAAAGCCTTTTTTGGGAAACAAATATCACACATTTTTAGGTAAAACTCACCCCACTTCTGCATTACTTTTTCTTCTTCTTCTTTTCCTTTGTTTTTTGTTACTTCTCTGTCTCATTTTGATAGTTGCATTTGAGAAATTTTAACTTTTTAGAGAGATCTCACCAAAAGTAAAAGCCAAAATTGAATAACAAGAATCACAAATGTTTATTGGTTTTGAACCAAAAATTCGAGCATCACCATCCATAACAAAGCAATGTATAAACTGGAAAAGGGTTAAAAAATAACCAGTTACCATGGATTTAGAGAAGAAGTTTTTGCATTTTGAAAACGTTATGGAAGAGAAGTTTACTTGTTTGAGTCCAATAATGTTGTCACCCCCCATTATTTTATCCCAATCAAACCTTTCAGCAATACCATTGAGCAACTCTGCAATTTGTTCATACTTCATTGGCCGTAAAGTTCCAAACTCAAAGCCAAATACCTCCTAAATTCATTTTATTTTAAAATTTTCTGGAATTAAGAGGAAAGTCCATAAAATGATCTACTGATCAGCAATGAGATGGTTGAAATGAATAATTATGTACAACTAATCTTATAACTATGTCTCAATCATCAATTCACTGAATATAAAAAATTAAATGCATGGAATGGACTAGTGATGAGCCAAACACATGATTTGTTTCAGCTTAGAATTATTAAGAAAAAAAGCAGTCATGTAAATTGTAACAGTGATTTCCGTAGGAGATAATAAACAAAACATCAAAGTATCTCCAAGTAAAATACACCACAAGAGATGCCACTTGAATCTAAGTACCAATAAAAGCTAGAAGTTGAACCTCCATTTCTCCTCAGAGATGAACGGTCCGTATTCGAAAACCAGAGTTTTACACTGCCCAAAGAATTGAAATAACAGAATCAAAAAGAGAGAGGAGCATAAATTGGAGTCACAAAATGGATTGTTCATCTTACTTGAGCTACTAAAATGTTTCTAACCTTTTTGACATAGTTCTCCACAGCATCACATGCTTTCAGAAGCAGCTCAATTATCTCCAACTGAACTAAAAGGCAAAAACAAAACTAAATATCCATGTACATTGAGATAGATTGTGAAATATTTATGCTTCAAGACACATATAAGATAAATTTACGAGTTTGAACTATCACTCAATATCATTTACCGTCCTCAACTAGAAAGAAAATGTTCTAGAGATAGAAATGAGTTTTAGACATGAAATCCACATTGAAGAACAAAATAAAGTCACAAAGGTAATTTGCAATTGTAAATTGAAAGATACAATTTATAATTGTATTTCTTGGAGATCAGCTAATGATTGGAAGTATATGTACCTGTGTGTCAGGATCTTTTAACTTTACTATAACTTCCGAAATAGCAAGATGGAAAATTTCACACTTATCCTCAGCTAATGACCGAGAAGCGAGTACCCTTTGTTCACAAAGATAGAACGTTTGGCAGAAATCTTTAGGTTGCAATAATTCAATCTCTAAGAATAAGAGAGTAACATAATAGTCCACCAAAGTTATGCATTGCCAAAAAAATATTATAGATGTAAGTCTTCTAATTATTACCGTATGTGAAGAAGATGGGCCATTCAAATGAAGGGAACCTACTCATTTTTTTATACAAATCAACATGACAAAGATGATAGATCCATTCATGCAAACAGACAGTTTGAATCCCAAGACTTGCTGATCAAGATAACCAATCAACTAGTGAAGGCTGAAATCATGTGGTTGCAGATCGTTTTTGGTGGCAATCATCGAAAAACATCACTATCTAATAATAACTACCTAGAAGGGGTAATTGGGTATTCATTAATCCTATTAGTGTTTAGAAATTAGGCATGAGAAACTTGACAGTGCCTAAAGCTCAGGATTATGGTGAACAAACAAGTTTATTCAAATCCAATGGCATTTATGTCAGCTACTACCTTTGGCTCAATAGGGATCAGCTGAGCACAGGTGTTGTGAAGGATATCAATGATCTCCGTCCGAGTCTTGTTGTCCTCGAGGTACTCAATTGCCTTGGCAGCAAACTCTTCACACAACGTGCACACATTTTCATTCCTTCCAACTTCTTCTAAAGCTTTAATTATGCCTTTTGATTCCTGGTGATTTATCTGCAACACTGTAGCTAGAAAACATTGATTTATTTGGATATATACTTAAGTATCATGTGCTGCGAACATTAAAATCTTAAAATTATATAAATTTGGAAGAGGAAAAAAGAAAAAAGAGAACTACCTGAAACATCAGATATCACCGTTTCTCTACTAGAGAGTTCAGTTGTCGTTAATTCTCTGGCATCACATGCCCAGCTAGTGCCCAAAACGAAAAGAACAAAGAGTCCAACCGTTGCAACCATGGTGGTTGAGGCAAAAGAAATTCAATTTAACCCAAAAAGCATTGAAAAAGGAAAAACAATATGAAAGGAAAACACTCAAATCACCAATATGATAAACTTATTGACAGCAATAGCTGAAAATCACAAAATATCATAACCCACCGTTCTTAGATGATGAATTAATGAACAAAAGGCACAAACCAGGACACAGGTTTTCATAATGATAGGACCAACTCCTAGATGCATACAAATATGAAGAAGTGAATGAAAGCCAAATCATAAGACAATGACTAATATTTACCCAATTTTCCTGTATTGTTCAGTAGATCAGTAGATCATTGCTCAGTATTGTTCCTTATCACTGGAACTATCAAAAACAATAAAGCCCAGTATTGTTCCTACGAAGGAAAAAACAATAATCACTATTGGAATGAACACAGAAAAAAGAGGTGAAGGTCAAATCTTATATTAAAACAATGTCTTAGAAAGTATTAACATGATTAATATAGCAATTGTTTGCCATTCAATAGGTCAAATGGTATTTAATCATAATGGTAGTGATTAAACAATGAAAAAAAAATTACAAGAAAAGTGAATATATTACGAGAACAAACATAGACAACCTCAACTCTCAATGTGCACAGTGGAAACCTACCAATGGTCAGGTCATCCTACCATACAAAATATATCTCCGCATATTATACAATCTTATTGATAAAAGATTGTTAATAAAACACTTGCTATCATAAATTTAGTATCTTACCATTAGACAACAACATTAATGAGAAAATACAACGATTTTAGATTAAGATTCCTAGCAAGACTTACTACTGAAATAAACTTTGAAAAATCCAGTTGCAATGCCATCAAGTGCCCACAAGTCAAATCATTATTGGTACTTACAGTTAAGGAGATCCAAATTAGCTCAGCATATGATCAAAAGGTCATGATACAGTATAGTACAATCCTTGCATGCTTACAATTAGGCAAATTGATGCCTAAAATATGTGATTATATAGTAGATGATCATAAACTACCAAAATATTTGGAATAGAATGTAAAATTACCTTTATGTATGTAGCTATAGCAGTCTTATTAGTTCCACCAGGCTCCTTCAAGTTGTTTAAAGCATCCATGATAAGATTGTCCAACCTATTACAATGAGAATGAAACATTACTTTAGTGTTTAAATAATCACATTGAAAGCAGAACTGGAGAGAGACATTACCCAACCTATACAACTTTAATTCACTGCAGCAACCTTGGCTAAATTGTAAACAAACTTACAATCACAAATCAGAACATGAAAATCCAAATTAGTTTCATGCAGCTAATACCAGATATTATAAACGACATGATAAAATGCAAGATGCACATATGAGGATTTCATATCAAAATTGGTTGGAAAAAAATTTACTGATCTTTTGTGAGAGATAATAAATGAATGCAGAAATTTTATGGGTAATCACAAGTTCTGAAATTTATCTGCATTCAGTCCAACAACAGGGGTCCACGTGATAGTTTCATTGTTAATATATGGTATCTTATTATGTAAATCAATAAATACCTAATTATTGAAGGATGTTGGTGGATCAAATTGGAAGGGAGATTCCTCCAGGTATGACACACATGCTCACATGCATTTGTCTATAGACACATGCCCCTGTTTGGCAAACAAGTTTTAGCAGCTTTTTTGCCCTTTTAGACCAAAAGCCAATTTTGTTTGGCAAATGCTTTTCAGATGACAAACCCAAAAAGCATCTGCCAAACACCTACATTCCTTTTTTCCTTTTTCTTGGCCATCCATCATATGGGTTTTCAAATTACTATTACAACGTAATCATATCCATCAATGAGTGAGAATGTGAACACATGTTATAAAAAGTCCTTCCAATATCAAACTATTGAATTCTTGCTAAATTTTACTACTTAAATGTAAACATCAATTTTAAAGTTTTCGCAACACTGTTTGTACATTATTTCTTTAGTTCAACGTTTTAGGATTTTAACTTTTCAATTATAAAATGAACAATTTCTTCCTTCTTCAAACACTACCTTTTTTTCTCTCTATCTCTGCTTCCCTCTGCTTTAATTGATCACTTTTCTCTGGCTTGTTTTAAAGGTCCAATTATAGTGTTGTAGTGACAGATGTCTAAGCAGTAAATCAAAGAACACTTAAAATTTGATTTACTAGATCTGTGAAATTCTCCACTGGATTGCATCACAAGTTTAATATGCTTAAATGTCAAAATGAATGCTACCAGACTCGATAGCAAGGTGTAAGAATTGAAAGTTAAGTATAAATGGTATAATTTCTCCTGCGGTGAATGGGTTGATTTTAAAAAAGGAGAAGGTCAGGGAGATTTAATCTTCTAGGAAGGACAAGAAATTAACAGACTTCAATGTGCAATTAATTATGATGGTCATGTGCGCATATGAAAAAAAGGAATTGTCCATGACCACAAAACAAAAAAGGGAAGAACGTCCGATTGTCCAAAAGTACTAGAGTAGATTCAACTGGTGAAGAAGGCCACGGACTTCTTATGGACTGAGAATGTGAGGCCGCTTTGGCCGACCTAAAGAAATATCTGACCACGGCTCCAGTCCTCTCAACACGTGAAACCTGGGAGAAACTGTTTTTGTATTTAGCAGTTTCAGAACATGCAGTAAGTACAAGGTACAAGGTACAAGGAGTAAAAGAAGGAAACAAAACTACTCAGCAATCAATGGCAGGATATAGAAGACAGCTGGGAAGACTTTCTCAGCAGCCTTCTCGACTTCGAGCTCAGCATCGATCTCCCGAAGAGTTTGATCAAGGTCTTCTCGGCGATTTGGCACCTCAGAGTTTGAGGCAAGGATTGAAAGCAAGAATCTGAAAAAAGAGAAAAATAGTCAAGAAGACGACAAAGTTCAAGAATAAAGCCAAGTGCACAGGCACTAAGTAAGTATGTGGAAGAACAAAAAAGTAATGACCCAGACACGATGCTAGCAACAGAAAAGAAAAGGCTCCGGCGGTGGCTCTTCCACCCGGGGCACTCCGACAATCAACTCAGTATATCTCTCAAAGATAATCAAGTGCTAAACTCACTGCTCAAAGCATAAAATTGCGTACCTTAGACCCACAGGGGTGCCTCTCTTTTATAGTTAACTTAATCCTAGTCTCATTAGAAGCCTGACTTCTATGGACTCCAATTTAGTACTTACTTTGGACTCCTCAAGAGATAAAGATAAACTCCCTAAGAGCTTTATCCTAACCTGCCAGGACACGTGGCAAGGTGACGCTAATGTGTCAGCCGAGGTGCCACGTGTCCTGGTCATTATGCCAAGGTTATCTCGGCGTTGCGCGAGGTTATCTCCGAAGATATCGAAATCCGAGATAAACAGCTAAGGGACAAGAGTCCTAGAATGAAGAGGAGGCTTAGTCAAGATGAGGATAAAGCTCTTAGGGAGTTTATCTTTATCTCTTGAGGAGTCCAAAGTAAGTACTAAATTGGAGTCCATAGAAGTCAGGCTTCTAGTGGACTAGGATTGAGTTAACTATAAAAGAGAGGCACCCCTGTGGGTCTAAGGTACGCAATTTTATGCTTTGAGCAGTGAGTTTAGCACTTGATTATCTTTGAGAGATTATACTGACTTGATCGTCGGAGTGCCCTGGGTGGAAGGCCACCGCCGGAGCCTTTTCTTTCTGTTGCAGGTTAGCTAGAGGCCATCTATTCTGCCAGTGCTTTTCCAGCTGATTACTAGGCGGACAGTGTGATCAGAAAAATCACTCACACAGTCCTCTATTTTATTTATTTACTTATTAAAATCCTTTATTTTAAGTAGATTTGGGATATTTTTGATGTGCTTGTGTTCCTTGTTGGGGGCACACCCTCGGGTCCATTAAATTGAGCTAAATCATTTAACATGTAGAACATATTAATAGACTATGCATACAAGATAATAAAAATAAATTGATTAGATATCAACAGTCACATAATCGAATTACAATTCTCTTATAATAATTCAATCATATTGTTGTCAATGTCAAATGTTTTAAATTTTTCTTTACGTAAATGATTTATTCATAAATTTTAGAAAATGAATGATTGATACATCTGGAGTGGATCCCAACAAAACTTACAAATAGTCCAACAGTGCCTTCAACACAATAGGCACTAGCAGTAATTGTAGTGAAACAACTACTCACACACTCCCTTTGTTCCATTTTATTAGTTTATTATTTTATTTTTGATCGTCTCAAAAATGCATATTCATTTTTGAAAAGGTCAAAATTTTAAAATGAGAATAGAAGGATATTTCTTGAATTGATATTTTAAAATTTGAATTCAAGTGTAATAATTATTTATCTCACTACAAGAAAAAGGACATGCAGTGACGTTTTTTGCTATGACGTTTTTCAAAAACGTCGTGAAATCTGTCCAGATTTTTCAAATTCCAAAAAAATTAAACTAAACCATCTCTCGTTTTGTGCCCTGGTTATTTCTTTTAAAGAGTGGCTCAACTCTAGGCTATGACATTCTTCTATTCAGATTGAACAGAGGCGTGACTTCAGGAAGAGAGAGAAATCGAGGCATCAGATCTTTGATCTCCATCAATTCTTCAGTTGTTTGATCTGAAAAATCTTGTTCTACTCGTGATTTGAGCGTATATCTCCGTGATTGTTCGAATCCCTATGATCTAAATCGATCTAGGGCTCAAGGTTAGGGTTTTCTGATATAGATTTGTTACATTCACACAAGATCAATAAAATTTCATGGCTAAAACTAACGATTTGGAATTGCTTTCTCTCGATTTAGTTGATTTCCAGTTTTTTTTTGCTTTTGTTGTGTTCTCTCCTTTCATTTTTGTTCCTTTTTTCTAGTCCTTGTGTGGAAAACTCTTCTTTTTCATCAGATTAAGCAGCAGCAATGGTGAATCGATTTATCTAGGGTTTCGAGTGCGCTGTTAGTGTCTCTAATCATGTACGGGACAAGCAGGAGGCGTTGGATGTGGATCGTTGGTAACAATGAGTAGAAGCTCAACG